ACCAACTCAGGTTTTAACGGCCTTGGGAGGTGATATAGATTTCACATGAAAGCCCTACAGAATTCCCCACCCATGTCCATTGGGAATCTGGCCCATTTAATCATAGCATCACTTGAGGATTCCCTGTTCTGTTCATTCCCTCTGGGGCACCTGGCATTGGCAACTGTCAGAAGACAGAACATTGGGCTAGAGGGACCTTTGGTCTGACCCAATAGGGCCATTCTTATGTTCTTAAGGTTAGGGTTGGAAGAGACCTCAGGAGATCATCTAGTCCAACCCCTTGCTCAGAGCAGGACCAACACCAACTAAATCAATGACCTTTAATTTAATGACCTTCATGATCCCACATGATGAATTAGTGGCAGATGCTGGGGATGAAGTGTGGTCTTATGCTTAATGTATGAGCCTGTAATTTAGAATAGCTGGGTTCAATTCCTGACTCTGCCACACGTAAACTGTAGGTCATCCAATTATTCTGAGCCTCAGTTCCTTAGCTATAAAATGGGGATAACAGTGATTCTCAGTGCTCTCTCTGTCTTGTTGTTTTTTTTTTTTAATGTAAACTCTGAAGGGCTGGAGCTGTCTCTTGCTGGTGCACGTACAGTATCTAGCACACTGGGGTGCTGATGTCATTTGAGGCTTCTAAGCACTACATATAATACTGCTACTAATAATGTCACCCAGGAATCCAGACTTCCAGGCCTTTGCTCTAACCACTTGTCCAACGCCCTCCCTTTCACACAGTAGCCATCTATTACTTATTACACAGTGGGATCCTTGAGGAAAATTCCCATTGGCATTAATTTTGTTCTTTCTGAGGATTAAAGGCAAAATCTAGCTGCGGTGGAGCAAAACATCTGCCAACTAACCATGCGTTGCTGCCAAGGTCTTACCTGCCTTGGCAAACATTAGATATGTCAGAGGAAGGCCTCATTTTTCCCCACCAGCCACATCAATTCACAACGACACTCAGTTCTCAGAATTAACAGAATTCTAAATGTTTGAATAAACAGAGGGGTAGATGCCAAGTTACTCTGTGTTGCAAATGAAGCAACAACCATGGAGGATGTCTCCTTTACATTCCATGGCATTTTTTTTCCTGATAATCCTCAGATTAAAGCCCCGTTTGATTCCACCACTATGTTTGTTCAGCACTGCATGTGAAGAGTTGCACCTAAGGAGCCATTTGCAGTGCACAGCGATCAATTTGATTGGTCCTATAAAACCAACTGTACTGCATATTGGAGAGCGCCATCTACCGGCACTTTGTCTAGTAGCTATATTTGCATATATACTATATATACACCTCTACCTCGATATAACGCTGTCCTCGGGAGCCAAAAAATCTTACCGTGTTATAGGTGAAACCGCATTATATCAAACTTGCTTTGATCCACTGGAGTGCGCAGCCCCGCCCCCCTCCACCACTGCTTTACCACGTTATATCCGAATTCGTGTTATATCGGGTGGCGTTATATCGAGGTAGAGGTATATTTGCATATATACAAACATCTCTGTTTTATAGAGCAAACTTGTAACATGCTTCTTCGGTTTGGCTGCAGCCAGTAGACTTCCTTCTTCCTCCTCCTTCAAAATTTGGATAACATTTACTATACCAAATCCCCCTCTATTTGTAGATTGGCGTGTTTCTACCTCTTTTTTTTTTTTGTATTATGGTAGTACCTAAAGGGGCAAACCAAAATCAGGACCCACTTATACTAGGCTGTCCAAAACCACAGTGAGACAGTCCCAAAGGCTGAACAAACAAAACAAGCAAAGGACTGGAGGTAGGGAAAAAGGTGTCCGGAGAGGTGAAGTGACTTGCTCAAGGTCTAATCCTAGCTCCTGCTTCTTCCCAGCTTAGTACCCCCTCCACTAGACCACTCTGCGTCTTTCAAACACCTCCCAGGAGATAACAATAATTCCCTTTACTCAGCTTCAAAATCTTGCGTCCTTTAAACTGTGTTCCTCCTTGGCTAACGCATCTCTCCCGTGTTAGGCTTCAAAGCTGCACTGAGCCACCCAGTCTACCCTGGCCCAAAGCCTCTCTCCAGCACGGCTGCAAATAGGTTCAGATCATTAGATCCAGGTTACCAAACAGCCTCTTGGATCAGGGTTAATTAAATGAGTGTTGAAATCTAATTAAGGACTGGTCTGGGCGATAATTAGCAGGAAATGTATGCATTAAAATATTCATTTGTCGATGAGCTGCAATTAAGAATGTGATTTGGGGAAGGATCAATAGCTACATCATGTGATTAAAAAAAAATGAGAAGTTGCCCGGCCTTGAGCAGAAACCCTGGTGAATGTGGATTTTATTCTGCTTTGCTCTCTTAATAACTCCTGGATCCCACTCTACATCCTTGAATAGGGCATTCATCTCTCCCTCCCTTTGTTTTGCTAAGCCATTTGTTTCACTCCCTTGTTCTTCACCACATTGTTCAAGCGGGTTATAGATTTATTAGCAAGAGGGAGAGAGAGAGAGAGTGACAGGTACAAAAAGAAAGATTCCTCGCCAATGAAAATCGCTTCCTGTGCTGCTAATCCAGGGGAACATCGCTCATTGTGTGGCCTCAGACTGTTTCTTTATCAAGTTAATTCCTCGGCTCTTTATTCCTTACGAGGATCTGCAGAAGGTGCTGCATATGCATATGCTGGGACTCCATTATTATTATTATTATTATTAATTTACTTGTATTATCGTCGTGCTCAGGAGTCATCGACCAGAACCCTGTTGTGCTATGCATTGTACGTGCATTAAAGTATTTTATTAAGATATTCCTAACTAGCAGCAAAGCAACTCTGCCTTCAGTGGAATGGATATTATTCCCCAATTGGAGGGGGGGATGAAAACCAGTTAATTATACTCCCCCCGTCTCCATAAGGGTGCATCTATACTGGAACAATTAGTGTCCATGTTGCAGCAATAGCCAGCAACAAGGCAACTGTTCTGGTGCTAAACTGGGGCCACCGCGTTGCTCCCACGAAAGCTGGTCAGACATTTTCGGACGGAATGGTTTTCTGTAGTTAAAGACTGATTTGACGAAACTGACCTTTCCAGGGGAATGGGTCCATTTAGATGGAAACTGGGCAGGTTGCCCATGGAGACCTGCCTGGTTTCCTGACAGCTCACCTGCCTTCCCAGGCTGACTGCAGCAGCTGGGATCTCCAAACAGAAGGCTGTCCAGGCTGCCAAACTTCCCGACTACTTGGGCAGCTGGCTCCCCAGTGACTTGGGCTGCCTGACCCCTTGGAAAAATTCTGCTTTGGTTCGCTCATAACTAGATCTTTTTAAATCTTTCTCTCCCACAAAACATCCCAAGCCAGGATGAAGATTTTTTTCAAAAATTCAAAATTTTCCATGGGAGGGAAATGGGACCTGCCATTTCTAGCCAGGTCTAGCTACCACCTGTGCATCTGCACCGGAGCTGAGTTGCTAGTGTAGACAGGGGCCCAAGCAGGTTGGCATTGCTGCTACCCTGGATATAGCTGCAGATTGCTGGCTGTTGCTGGACTAATAGTACTAAGGCTCAAGGTCAATTAAAGCCAGGTTCTTGTCCCACTGAGCCTAAAACACAAGAGTGAGTGAGAGGTAGAACAATGCACCTTGTCCCATTTCACAGCTGATTGCTACCAGTCACCTGCTAGGGTGATCTGGGTTCCCTCATTTGGACAGAAGATCAAGGTCTTAGGAGTGAGAAGAAAACATGGTTCCATCAAGGGAGCAAGTGGAAGAAAGTCTGGCTGCCTGATTCATTTGAGTTTGCATGTGTTAAAAAGGCATATTAATTACCAGCTGTAGTTATGACTCATATATTACCAGAAAATCCCATATGTTAACCGCACTGTAGTTCTGTTACAATGTGCATGAAAAATATCAACGTGCCTACCATGTACTCTCTCCTAAGTGGGAAATAAGCCCAACGAGGTGAGATTTTCCAAAGTGCTCAGAGTTGGTTTCTCTCTGCTCTTACTGAAAACTTCCCCTGGTGTCAGCAGGAGCAGAAAGAGAGAGCAACTCTGAGTGTTTTGGAAAATCCCTACCCAACAACAATCACGTCAGTGTCTCTTGAATTTGAACCCAAGCAGGCTCAAAGTTTGGCACAAAGAGTTTGCCCATCCCTAATTATTGCATTTCCACTGTCAGGAGAGCATGCCATCTGTGCCAGCTTACACAAAAGGGGTTGTGGTCTTGTTTTCCTTGCTGAGAAATTCCATTGCTCCAAATGAGTAGAGCTTTCCTAACTGCAGCTAACGAACTCTGCATTCACAGCAGGGTTCACCTTCCCGCGACCGCTCCTGAGGTCACCTCTCAACTTCTTACAGTTCTCGAGATAGAGGAGGACACTCTGATCCACTTATCACCACTTTCCCTTCCCTGACTTAGCTGGAAATGCTGCAAGATGCTTAAATATCTTCAGAGTGTGGGGTGCTAAGTTCTGGAGCCAAAGCTGACCAGTGTGGTCTCCCCAGACACAAGCGTAAAAATAGTGAGTGCTGAACAATTGCGGGAGGCAGGGGTCCCACAGGCAGGATCTGCAGGGATGGAACTAACCCATTGCACTGTCCAAAAAATAAATCAGGCCAACTGGAGTGCAGAAGTGACTAGCTTGCAGTGCAATGGCACCAGCTCTCAGTTTAAATCCCTAATAGACCAGCAGTTTTGCTAGGTGGAAAAGAACACGGCCCACCTCTTTGCAGAGGGAATTTAAACCAAAGCAAAGAAAGAAGGAGCTTGGAGAAAAATGAGAGTGGGCCAGATGGCCCACTCACCCCACCCTTGTGGTACAGATTCATTTTCCTCTTTGCTGCTGCTCTCTCCAGCCTACCGCAAGCTGAGATCAGTGTGGAATGGGAGGGTGCCCAGGGTTGTCTTCAAAGCCCAATGGAGCCGAATCTCAGCCAGTCTCTGTTATATGTGCGGATGCAGATTGGTCCCACTGGGCACTAATGGGAAAATACCCCGGTTGTGTTCTCTCTTTTTGTTTCCCTACCTCCAGGGGGCCTCCTCGAGCCTGGTGGTGAAGTTTGCAGACACGGACAAGGAGCGTACCATGAGGCGCATGCAGCAAATGGCAGGACAGATGGGCATGTTCAATCCCATGGCTATCCAGTTTGGAGCATACGGCGCCTACGCACAGGCAGTAAGTATAGGTACTGTTTCTCTGCATTTTAAGGAGAATTGCGTTGCCAGACACCAGCCAGCCGATGGCACAGCACACAGGGAGGAAAGGAAAGGAGGACTGTGTGATTCCCTCATTAAACCGGCTCTGCAGTGATAGATCAGAGACAAGTCTGAGCCACTAAGCCACTCAGCTTGCTGTAGGCTGGGATATTTCCCGGACACTGCGGCTTCCAGTCATGACCAAACCATAGCCACGCATCCAGCCACCACTAAGCTACGATCAGTTGGTCCAAACCATAACGACCAAAGCCAGACACCACCAAGCATCAAGGATTTGGATAAAATGGGACCCAAATCCAATTCCACCCCAGTTTTTAGTTTTGTGTCACCAACATCCAACCCCAGATCGGTTTCAGGAAATGGAAACCATCCCTGGTTTAACCCTCTGGCCTTCCCAGGCTCTTGCCCCTAAACTGCATTGGATTGGCCTGTAAGATGGCTCTCAAATCTATTCAGCCAGGCCCATATTTTCAACACTGTCTTCTAATTATTGTGTGAGCCCCCATATTCAGGCCCCCAAAATCAGTGGTCAGTGTAGAAAATGGCGGTCTTAGTCTTTGCATCTTCAGGGTTGTCAAAAGATGCCGGGTAACACACACACGCACACTCACACATGGTCCCTGCCCTAAGGAGCTTAAATCTGGGTCACAAAGGGGCAAAACAGTTGAGACGCATCTACACAGGAACACAGGAGCTGCCCTGCTGAATTGGACTCATGGACCGTCTAGTCCAGTATCGCATCGCTGAGAGTGGCGGTTACCAAATGCTTCAGCGGAAGGTGTAAGAACCCTGCCGTAGGCAGATGTAGAAGTGATTCTGAGTACCTCGACATTGGGTGAACCCAGGCGCGACGTGCAGACACAACGGCACAGATCCCCCTAGCCACATACCTAGCCCTCAGTGCCATTGCGTGTGAGCACCTCACAGTCGTTAATGGCTTTGATCCTTACATTCTGTGAGGTAGGCCGAGGCTACTCTTTCCATCTTCTAGATGGGAACGTGAGGCAGACTTGCCCAAGGTCATAGCCGGAGGCTGTTGCTGAGTCAGCAGTTGAAATCAGGTTTACTTGAATACTACCCCGGTACCCCATTCACTAGACCATGCTTTCTACCCTATCAGTATGTTGGCACTCAGCTAAAGTATCCTCTGTCCCCCGTCTTGACTCACTCCAGCCTCTCCTAAGCGTTCTCAGCGTAACTGAATGCCCTGGAGAATCATGCGTACCCCGGTCTATCTCAAATTGCCTGCTCCTTCGGGGAACTCCCTCCCCTTTCTTGTGTTGCTCTCTCCTCACATGCCTGGAGCTATGAGTTTGTGAGGACACATCCTATCATGTACTCCTGGACCAGATATGGACTGGCTACAGAGCTTGCTTATGCACACTAGGATCATCATAAGATCCTTTAATGCTCTTCCTGGTATGGCCAAGGTTAGCTTTTTAAATAAAGTATTTTACACAGTGCCACCTCGTGGCAGAATAGTATAATACAAAAAGAACAGGAGTACTTGTGGCACCTTAGAGAGTAACAAATTTATTAGAGCATAAGCTTTCGTGGACTACAGCCCACTTCTTCAGCTGTAGTCCACGAAAGCTTAT